TTGTAAGGTTAGTGGTGCCATCTCAGCCTCCTCCATTTCTGTCAACCCCTTAAATGTTGGGTTACTAGGCCCTGCACACTCCTCCTTGTTCATACGTATACCAGTGCCCCCCAAACCTTCATCTCCATATCTCCATCCCAGATCTCTCTCTTTTTTTTTTTTAAGATTTTATTTTTTTCCCTTTTCTCCCCAAAGCCCCCCGGTACATAGTTGTATATTCTTTGTTGTGGGTCCTTCTAGTTGTGGCATGTGGGACGCCACCTCAGCATGGCTTGTTGAGTGGTGCCATGTCCGCACCCAGAATTTGAACCAACAAAACACTGGGCCGCCTGCAGCGGAGGGCGCAAAGTTAACCCCTAGGCCATGGGGCCAGCCCCCAAGATCTCTTCTGACTGCCTCCTGGAGGCCTCCATTTGCCTGTCTGACCAACACCTCAAACTCAACATGTCCTAAGCAAAGCATATTGTCTTCCTCCAAACATACACCATCTGCCATGTCCCTGCCACAGGTCATGAAATTATCACCCATCCGGTGGTCCAAGCAAGATGTCTGGGCATTAGATCCTCTCTCTCTTTCCTTCTCCCCTCACATCCAGTTCCTGGTGATTCTACCTCCTAAAGTCTCTCAAATCCTTCCATTCTCTCCATCTCCACTGCCACCACCCTCATCCTGGCCAGCATTACTTCTGCCTGGAGACTGCAAAGCTTTCTTATTGGAGTCCCCACATCCTCTCCTGTCTTCCTCTTCTGTAGCTGAAGCGATCTCTCAAAAAATGCAAATCTGTTCCTGTCTATCCCCTATACAAAATTATTGAAATGGTTTCCCATTGCTCTTAGTATAAAGTCCAGATTCCTTCACACACTCTATTAGGCCTTTAACTGTGCCTGTCCTGTTTTCCATTTCCATCATGTTCCAGAATCACTCACCTTTGTTCAGTTCCTTAACTCCTGTGTTCCTCGCCTCTGAGGCTTTGCAAATATTGTTCTACTTTCCTAGAGTGCCCTTCCTCTCCTTTTTTTAACAAGCTGCTATTCATCCCTCAGGTCTCAGCTAATCCCAGATATCCTTCTCTGATCCCAAAAGTCTGGGCTGCATCCCCTGCTATGGGCCCCCATGGTACTCTGAGCTTCCCCTGAAAGATACTTCGGGTGACAGATTGGGTGGGGCTCTCTGTTTCATGTGGTTTGTCCTATTCTCTAGCCACAGGCTTCTCCTCTAGCCTGACCAGGCAGATGAAGCCGCAGGGACCCACTCCTCCTCAGGGGAAAATAGCCCACAGTTGAAGGCGCTCCTGGTAGGCTGCTCACAGAGGAGGGTCTGTCTTGAAGCCTGAGGCAGGACTCCTAGACCTGGGCCCCATTGCAGCAGTCCACAGGGCTCCATCATCTGGCTGTTTGCTGCTCAGGTTTCCAATGACAAGACTGAAGATTTCTTTGATTTCCACTCCAGGGTCTTGAATATAGTGAATGCTGGGGAAATATAGCTTGCTGGACCCTGGGACTCTGAAGGCTCAGTGGCCGTGAAGACACCCTCCCCGAAAAGGCTCACTACTGATGCCCACCTCCTTTCTTTCCAGTCTATCCTCCTTGTCCTGGTTTGCGGAGGGTGTCCCAGGCGCTGTTTGGAAGGATGCCCAGAGGTGGGCTGGCCTGATGGAGAGGCTGGGAGCCTCTCTGGAGAATGTGGCATTCTCTAGGTGATTCCATCTGAAACCCCTTGCACACACTCCTCCCTCTCTGTGCTCAGTCCCTCCCAGTAGCACACCATTTGCTGAGGAGACTATAATGCATGCTCAATTCAGTGCTTTGTCTTTTTCTGTGAAATTGAAGGGCCATATTGGCTGCAAGGAGGTGTTAAATTAAGGAGACAAGACTTACTGGGTCTCCCTGTCTCTGCACCCCCATCTCTACAAAACACACAGTGTCCTTCATTTAGTGTGATGACTAGAACTTGTAACTTTGAATGACTGGTGAAATGAAATCAAAAAGGGAAGTGCTTGAGAAGACCTTCAAAGTCACCCATAAACGCAACCTACTCTTCTAGTAAGGAAAGAAATGTGTCTCAAACTTTACTAAGTTAAAAGTTACTAATTTTAACATCCACATTTCTTCATTCGTTCAACACGTATTTATTGACCACCTAGTAGGTGCCAGGCACTGTGCTAGGGGTAGGATACAGTGAAGAGCAAACATGGGGTTTACACTCCCACGAAGTTTCCACTCGACTCAGGAGACAGATATCTGATCAAAGAAATACATAGTTCAGTGTAAGATTGCAATGGTGAAACATAAATTACAGCAGTGACTTGGGCTGAGAAGGGAGGTGGGTGATGCTACTGTAAGAGCATCCAGTATTTAACAAAGGATCTGACCAGAAACTGTTGACTGATAAGACCCAGAGAAAGGACAGGACTTTTTTTTTTTTTTTAAAGTGTAATGGCATATATATTTTAAAGGTTTTATTCTTCCTTTTTCTCCCCAAAGCCCCCCAGTACATGGTTGTGTATTTTTAGTTGTGGGTCCTTCTAGTTTAGTGGCATGTGGGATGCCGCCTCAGCATGGCTTGATGAGCAGTGCCATGTCCGCGCCCAGGATCTGAACCAGAGAAACCCTGGACCGCCGAAGCAGAGTGCACGAACTTAACCACTCAGCCACGGGGCCGGCCCCAAGGGCAGGACTTGATTGTTATGTTTGGACGTTGTTGTAAATGGCTTCTGTGTTTAGACTTCAAGTGTAGAGAGCTGAGGTCATCATACCCCTTTAGTTCATGGCACATTATTATGATTGCTCTACTTGAGTGCTCACTTTTATTACCTTTGACCTCTATTTCTCATTCCCATTCCCTATTTCCCCCACAAGTGGGTAATGATAACGAGACAATCTGCCCTGTGGTCTGGCTTTCTCAGAAAAAGCTAATGGGTTGTTTGTTTTTTTGAGGAAGATTAGCCCTGAGCTAACATCTGCTGCCAATCCTCCTTTTTTTTCCCCCCCAACTGAGGAAGACTGGCCCTGAGCTACCATCCATGCCCATCTTCCTCTACTTTTATATATGGGACGCCTACCACAGCATGGTGTGCCAAGCGGTGCCATGTCCACATCCGGGATCCGAACAGGCAAACCCCGGGCCACTGAGAAGCGGAACATGCACACTTAACCAATGCGCCACAGGGCGGCCCCTGGGTTGAGATTTTTGTCAAATAAGAATGATCAAAAGATACTAGGTCAAGTTAAAGGGCATTGGAAAGGCTATTACTGGAAGCTGAATAAGTGGGGAAGAAGAAAGAAAAGAAGAGATGGATTGGAGAAAAGTAATTATTGATCTGGAGGTCCTATGACTTTGAGATCTCAGAGAACTGACGATGAAGAAGCAAAATGGAAGGAAAGGAGGTTATGGTCAGAGGTAGGGTGCTTGAATAAGTGAGTTTGGAGGTGGAGCAGATCTGGGTGATAACAAAACCCAAGGTGTGGGGCCGGCCTGGTGGTGTAGAGATTATGTTTGTGTGCTCTGCTTTGGGTGCCTGGGGTTTGCCTGTTCAGATCCCAGGTGTAGAACTACGCACTGCTCATCAAGCCATGCTGTGGTAGGTGTCCCACATATAAAGTAGAGGAAGATGGGCACAGCTGTTAGCTCAGGGCCAATCCTCCTCAGCAAAAAGAGGATTGGCAGCGGATGTTAGCTCAGAGCTAATCTTCCTCAAAAAAAAAAAAAAAAAAAAAAAAATCACCCAAGATGAGGTAGTTGGCCAAGGTGAAAGGGATGAGGTCATTGGAGAAAAAAGTTCAGGGTGTCAAGTGGTCATGGACATGGATTCAGAACAATGGAAGGGATCGAGGTGGAGAACAAGACTAAGAACCAGGGACCAATGCCCTTGAAGAAGGAGGAGGAGTTAGGAAGAGTTGAATAGGATAAGGATTGGCTACAAATGATAGAAAACATTAAGATTAATAGGACTTAAATAAGACAAAAGTTTGTCTCCCACACTTAGAACATCCAATGATATCCTATCCGGCTCATAGGTACTCCTCAGTGTCAAGGGACCCAGCCTCCTTCTTTATCTTGTTACTCTGCTTTGTGTGGTGCCAATTCCCAAAGCTACTTCATGGTCTAATATGGTGCTGGAGTTCCAGCCATCACTTTATTCCAGACAGCAGGAAGCAAGAATGGGTGAAGAGAAGCATGCACCCTTCATTTTACATTAGTAGATTTTATTTTTTATTTTTATTTATTTATTGAGGAAGATTAGCCCTGAGCTAACATCTGCTGCCAATCCTCCTCTTTTTGCTGAGGAAGACTGGCCTTGAGCTAACATCCTTGCCTATCTTCCTCTACCTTATATGTGGGACGCCTACCACAGCATGGCTTGTCAAGCAGTGCCATGTCCTCACCAGGGATCGGAACCAGCGAACCCCAGGCCGCCAAGAAGTGCAACGGGCGCACTTAACCACTGTGCCACCGGGCCGGCCCCCAAGCATTGCATTTTAAAAGAGAAATCTGGAAAGCTTCTGCCGTTTTCCACATGAGAATGCTGAAGTCCTGACTTGCACACTTTTCTATTCCCCATTCCCTAAAACCTAATGATGAGGAAGGGGGCAGAAAATATGCCTCTAAGCCCAAATGAGTGACCCGAGGCACGATGTGGTGGCCGCTGGGTGAGGTGAAGCGGGGCAATGCAAGCCTCTCCTCCCCCCGCATCCTAATTTTCCACTGCAGCCTGTTCTCCGAAACACAGGCTGCTTTCTGGGCTCATGAAGGACAAAACATGTTGCAGCAGCAGAACAGAAAACAGATCCAATGGCATAAGATTAACAATAAAAAAGTGGGCAGATTGTTAAGCGAAATAACTCAGACAAAGACAAATAGCGTATGATTTCACTCATATGTGGAAGATAAACAAACACATAGATAAGGAGAATAGATTGGTTACCAGAGGGGAAGGGGGTGGGGGGAGGGCAAAAGGGATAAAGGTGCAGATACGTATGGTGACAGATAAAAACTAGACTTGGTGGTGAAAACGATGCAGTTTATACAGAAACTGAAATATAATAATGTACACTTGACCTTTATACAATGTTATAAACCAATATGACCTCAATAAAAAAAATAGAAAATAAGCGGGCAGATTAATAAAATTAGCTGAGGTTTTTTGGTTCTTGTCTGTCCAAGACACATTTGGAAGTAACATGAGGCGAGGGAGAGGGCAGCAGACACACTGGGGACAAAGCATGAGGCCCAGGTGAGCCTCCCTGGCCTGCTCAGCAGCCTCCTTCCCGGGTCCACTCTCGGGCATTGATGAAGAGCTGGAGCCAGGGGGAGGTGGTCAGAGTGTCAAATGGTGGGGGTCGCCATGCCCATTGCCAAGGTCTCACAGACCGCTCAGGGTGAGGCATGAGAGCCAGGTGGCGGCCATCAAGGGAGCAGAGGCCAGCCACGCCCCCTGGGGACCCATTGGGATTCAGAGGGTACTGTTCTGTGGGGTTCCCGTCATCGTCTGCCCAGTGCAGTGGAGCCAAGCCCTTGGCCTCAATCTGGGCTTGCAGTTCCGGAGAAGAAAATGCCATGTAACCTGGGAGGGAAGAAGGGGAATGAGAGCAAAGTTCCTTCATGCCCTCCACCCACCCCCGCCCTCAGACCCTCCCCGCTGCCTCTCCAGAGCCTGACCTTCTCCATGGGCGCTCCACACAGGCAGCACGGCTCCCTCCATCCCTCGCAGCATCAGGGCCGGCCCAGGCCCCACGCGCACACTGGCCCAGCGAGACTCATAACGCCCAGACAGGTTGTGGCGCAGCAGGAGGCCGGGCTGGGCTGGCCAGGAGTCAAGGCCCATCTCCCCTGCCTCCTCATTGGGATTGCCTCCCACCCAGCCCAGCAGAGCCAGCAGCTGACAGCCGTTACACACGCCCAGGCTAAAGGTGTCTGGCCGCTTCCGGAAGCGCCTCAGCTCAGCCCCGGCCTGTGGATGAAAGGTCACCGCAGCCGCCCACCCTAGGAGGGAACAGGGAAGTTGGGGTGAGACCTGGAATGAAGGAGTTGGCTGCTCTGCCATCCCGCAGGCACTGTTACACTCCCCCAGGACTGCACTGCCCTGCAGAGCTTGGGAAAATTCGAAGAAAGAAATGGGTTTATCTGCTTAAATCAGATGTTATCAACACCTGGGCCAGGAAATGGCCCCATAATAAGTTTTTTGCTTGGCCAGCAGCACATTTTCAAAATTTTTACTTAGTTGCCTAACATTTAAACATAGGATTTCATATAAAAATCTGGATTTTTGGCTTCTCTTGAAAACCAGAAAGACCTGGCCATGCTAAGCCAGCTTTGCAACAGGACAATCTGTTGGAGTTGAGTAGCAGCTACCCCTTTAGAAAGGGCATGTCCCCTCCAGGTTGGCAGAGTGCCACACAGTCACCTGCCTCATTTAAGTTCCCTGCAGGAGGCCTTCTGTTGGCATCTGGCCCAGAATGAAAGCACTCCCTCTCCCCCGGCCTTGTGGAGGTGAGACGCCAATTCTCAGTCAAGGAAGAAGGGAGCTAAGGCACCTCTTCAGGAATGTGTGAGGGTGGCAGTGGGCAGAAGCCTGCACACCCACCTTTGGCAGAGCCCAGGACATCTGCGAAGCTGAAGCCACCCACGAAGGCTATGCCGCGGAATGTGTCCAGCCCGATTGCCCCAGAACAGAGGTCCTGCATGGTCACATCCCACACCTGGCAGGGTGGGGAGGGGAAGTGTCAGAGGACAAATAGCCCAAGGCCCAGCCCCAGCTCTGCCAGCCACCCTGCTCACCTCAAACCCAGCCAAGTGGAAGGCATCAGCCATCTCCCGGTCTCCGTTACTGCCCTCCTCTCGCATGATGGCGACTCGGGGGGTGGGACCTCCTGCGGGGAGAAGAAGGAGTGTCTCTGCGCCAGAGGGCTACTGCTCCATCCCAACCCCCTAGACACCTTTTCCAGGGCAGGCCTGGGCATCCCGGCCCAAAGTGCCCAGGAAGCCAAGCTTCTGTGCACATTCCCTCACCAGGCTCGCGGGGCACGGAAGCTTTGGGAAAGGTGGGGGGCAGGCAGTAGCTGGGCCCTGTCCGCTCCCTCAGCCCCTGTTCTTCCTCGGCCACACAGCTCGGCTCTGCCTGCAGCCGGTCCAGCTGGAAACTCGTCTCTTCCCAGAGGGCTCGCAGCTGCCCAACAGGCTCCTCCAGAACCACAGCCCCATTCACTGACACCCGGACCTAGAGAGAGGCGCAAATCTATCAGGGCCAAGAGTAAGGACACCCAAGCTGGGCCCCCTCCAAGGCTGGCAGAGGTGAAGCTCAGCCTGTTCTTCACTTCCTCACCACGGCGTGGGGCCCGGCATCGCCCGTGTGGCCCAGCTCCAGGCAGTGGAGGCCTGCATCCTGGTAACGCTTCAGCACTTGAGCCACGTCTGGCTCCTGCACCTCCAGCACCAGGCCTGGCTCCTCGGCAAACAGCACAGGCAGCGCTAGGAGAGCAATGTGGGCATCAGGGTGACTAGAATACTGCCAGGGACTCAGAGGTTGGAGTCAGGAGAGTATGGCCGAGGGTTGAGGGAGTGGAGGCAGGGATCACGGGTGGGGTGAGGCCTGGGAGAGTGGGACCAAGGATGTGGCCTCAGGGTGTGTGAAGGTTTCAGAGGGGTGCAGTCAGGAACAGTGGGTGTCATCTTGCTCAGCAGTCAGAGCAGACAGCAAGGGTCTCAGGGGAAAAGGGGTTGGGGACACTCCGTTCTTTAACAGGACATGGGGCCTGCAGGGTGGGGCAGGCAGCCCAGGCCCAAGTCTAGACCCTGGGCTCCTCACCATTGACCCCAGGGGCAGGTACATCTGCCTCTATCCCACAATTCCCAGCAAAGGCCATCTCTAGCAGGCAGGTGATGAGACCCCCGTCGCTGACATCATGGCCTGAGCAGAGGAGGCGATCTGGAGGAAGGAGAAAAAAGCTCAACAACCTCGGGGCCCAAACCTGGTGGCCCCGCCCCTCTTCTGGAGAGTCAGTAGTGTGTGTGAGAATATGGGCACATTCAGAGAACTGAGAGAAGGGCAGCCAGTCCCTCCTGCCCCACCCTCACATGCTCAGCTGGAGAATGCCTGCCACATGTCAGCCACAAGCGCCGTCTGCCCCAGGGCCTCACTCACCTTTTAGCAGCCCCTGGGTGATGCTGAAGGCACGCACCAAGTTCTCCGGAAGGTCCAGATCGGGAGGCTGCTCACCAATCTGGGAGAAGCACTGGGCCAGAGCTGTACCCCCCAGCCGGTGGTGCCCAGGACTCAGGGGGACATAGAGCAGATGGCCTGGGGAGACAGGGAAGGGGTGAGGGGAGATGAATGCTCAGGAGCACTGAAGTTCCCAGCATGTGGCAAGATACCCAGACCACAAGTCCCAGAAAGTACCACAGCCCCAGTGCCCAGATGAGGGGGCCAGCACCCACAAAGCAGACCCCAAACAAAGGACCTGGCTCTGCATACACAATGCAGTGGGGGGTTTTGGAGGAGAAACTCATACCTCTCCCTCCAGGACACTTGAGGTCTGGGGTCACAGTGGCTGTAATGTCTGGACAGACAGCATAGGCTGAGATGACCAGAGATCCTGAGGAGCAAGGTGTAAGAGAGTAGGGCACCAGCCCAGCCCTGCAGGTCCTGCCCCTCTCCCTGTGGCCCCCAGACCTCACCAGGAGCCCGCACGGTCTCAGAGCCAACCCGGGCAGCCATGCTGAGAGAGTCCTTGCCACCATCAACTGCCACACCCAGGGCCACCATCACTGCCACCATGGCCTCACAGGCGTCAGCCAGAGCTGCACCCTCTCCTGGGAGCTTGGCTGCCCACATCCAGTTCCCACTGCACTTCACATCCTGGGAGGTGGTGGAGACTCAGTATTAGAGAAAGAAGAGAGATGTGCAGAGTCCAGGGTACAGGCAGAGGGGCTGGGGGTCACAAGCACGAAGGGCAGGAGGGGTAAGTAAATGGTGGATGTGGACATGTCCCAAAGGCCTGGGGCTCCAGGGAAGAAGCTGCAGGGGACTCACCCGGAGGTCAGTGACCAGAGCGAACACCAGGTTGGTGAGGGCTTCGGCCACGGCCAGCCGGGCAGCGACCTTGGGGTCCAATAGGCTCTTAACTGGCTGCTCTCCCAGGGCTGTGGCGGCCCCTATGAGCTCCTGGTGACTCAGTGCCACGACCGCCACGTCTGCCAGAGGGGTATGCAGGGGCCCAACACACTGCTGCTGCGCCACCAGGCCACCCACAGAGCGGTCCACCTGCAGAACCAGGTGGGGTTGGTAAGAAGCCAAGGGACAGGGACACCAGGGCAGTAGGAGGTCTGGCTCACCGGGAACATAAAAACAAGACTCAGAGAGTGGGCAGCAGGGACCAGGCCATCAAGGTGGTTGTTCTGCCCCTGCCACTTCTCCCTTGGGCCTGGTGAACCCCCACAACAGTCCCCAAGAGCGGGAGGCCAGGGGTAGGTGAGCAGAGGGAAGGGGGCAGAGGGCTGAGGGGGCAGAGCAGGGGTGCAGGGAGGACCTTGTTGGTGAGGTAGCGCTTGCTGGCCACGGCAGGCAGCCTCAGGACCCGCTCCAGAGCCTGGCGCACGCTCAGCCCCGGGGGCAAGGCCAGAGGCTGCAGCACCGGGAGATTCCTCTGGAGGAAGAACTCCTGCAACACAGATGGTGATGAGGATGTGAGGCCAAGGGAGGGCTGGGGACTCAGGGGACTGAGCACACCCAGGGTAGAGGGTGTCTGAAGAGCTGGGCCAGAGAAGGGAGGAACCAGCCTTCCCTCCCACCCCCACATACCTTCCGAGGCATCTTGCCCAGCACCCAATCCAGCTCCAGGTCCACAGGGGTTGGTGGGGTTGGAGGGGCATCCCCCTGGCCATCTCTCTCCACAGGACACTGCCGATCATCCACCAGCACTATCTACAGACCACAGGGACACCGCCCAGAGGGAATGAGACTGTGAATACCAATAGGAAACACTTCTAGAAAGCAGGGCAGAAATGTTCTTTCCACCTGTTTGGCTTCCCCTAGTGAGTCCTAGTGAGGCCACACATGTGTGCCGCCATCTCCCATCCTCCTCTCATCTCTTTCCCTTGACAGCTCTCCCTCCAGCCTGTACACAAGAAGCTCAGGCCCATCCAGGGTCTGCTGCCGACTCCCCGGGCCAACTCACTCTCCTGTCTCCAGTGATGGTGCCCACAAAGCAAGCTGGGCAGCGTTCCCGGGTGCTGACACGACTGAGGAAGTCCCGGTGGGGGGGCCTCAGCAAAAGTGCATTCGACTCCTGGTACTCAGCCCCCCAGATTTCCAGGGCGTTCAGGGTCGGATCCCCGAGCTGCACATCCACGGGGAAGGAGGAAGGAGAAGGGTCAGTGGGTGCTCCCAAGTTTCATGTTCTTGCTGGGAGTGGGGGAAGATGGGTGGGGCCAGCTATGTCTGGCAGGGGTTGGGAGATAGCCAGAATTCAGGGGATGAGACCTACCTGGAAGCGGCTGGTGTAAATGACGGCTCCCGCGGGGTCACTCAGCTCCTTCAGGACGTTGCCTGGTGAGAGGGTTGCCGGGAGAGGTGGTGATCTGACCATGATCAACACCAGGCAAACAAAGGGCAATCCTCAGCCTCCAAAGGAGCCCCTGATTCTGTGTCTCCCTGCTTGAATCGCTGCTGCACCCTCACCAACAACCACCCCATGGGAGCAGGCTCCTATCACCCCAACCCTGAGCCTGTCCAGAATGTACAGGGGGTGGAGTCTGGGACCCAGAGCTGGGTGGGCGGCTGTGGACCCTTGATACCTCTCCCTAAACCAAACCTGGCAGGAGACCAGGTAGGTCCAGTTCCTTGTCCCAACCCCTTCTCTCACCATTGCCACCAGCACCCTGGTCATGGAGGCTGCAGATGGGGTTTCCCATGGGGGCCTCCACACAAGCCCGGATCACACGGTTCATCTTCTGTTCCATCTCTGGGTCTCCCCGTTGCACAGCCCCAAAGTCCAGGTCACTGGCGTTGTCTCCCTGCACCTGGAGGAACATATGGCATAGCTCAGCTCAGGGAGATTGGGAGCTCATACCTGACCCACGCACGGGGCCTGGCAGTATCATGGCGTCTGCATGTGCAGATGTCCCCACTTACCTGCACAGACGAAGCAGCTCCACCTCCAACTCCAATCCTGTAGACAGGACCCCCAACCTTTGCAACATCCATGCCTGCCAGGAAGGAGGGCAGAATCAGAACACAGGGAAAGCCACTGAAGAAGTGTGAGACGAAGGGAAGCTGATATTAGGGGAGAGCAAGCGAAATTACAAATACATATATTCTTTGATTGAGTAAATACACTTTGAGGAATTTATTCTCCAGATTTATCTGCACAGGTACAAAATGACCTATGTACAAAATTACTGAAGCATTATTTATATTACCAAAAATAGGAAATAACCTAAATGCTAACAACAGAGAACTGATGAAATAAATTATGGTACAGCCATATAATGAAACACTACGCCACCACAAAAGAGAATTACATATGAATATAATGAAGTACAGTGATGAGCCACCTAATGACAGGGGTGCATTCTGAGAAACGTGTTGTTAGGCAACTTCGTCACTGTGCAAACATCAGCGTCTACTCACACAAACATAGATGGTATAGCACACTACACACCTAGGCTGTATGGTACTAATCTTATGGGACCACTGTCCTATATGTGGTCCGTTGTTATGCAGCACATAACTAACATGATTTCATCAATACGAAATGATCTCCAAGATAGATTACTAAGTGAACAAAGTAAGGTAGAGAAGTATGCATACCGTTTACAATAGCATCAAAAAGAAATAAAAGGGAATAAATTTAACAATATAAGTGCAAGAAAACTACACAGAAAACCACAAGACATCTTAGAAGACCTAAACAAATGGTAAGAGACCCCATGTTCATAGATTGAAAGACTTAACACTGTTATGATGGCAGCACTCCCCAAAATGATCTGCAGAGTCAATGCAATCCCTATCAAAATCTCAGATGTGGGGGGGCTGGCCCCGTGGCCGAGTGGTTAAGTTTGCGCGCTCCGCTGCAGGCGGCCCAGTGTTTCGTTGGTTCGAATCCTGGGCGCGGACATGGCACTGCTCATCAGACCACGCTGAGGCAGCGTCCCACATGCCACAACTAGAAGAACCCACAACGAAGAATACACAACTATGTACCGGGGGGCTTTGGGGAGAAAAAGGAAAAATAAAAAAGTCTTTGGAAAAAAAAAATCTCAGATGTCTTTTTTGCAGAAAGTGATCAGCTGATCCTAAAATTTGTATGCAAACGTGAGAGACCTAGAACAGCCAAAAGAATCTTGAAAAAGAACAAAACTGGAGGACTCATACTTTCTGCTTTTATTTTTTTATTTTGGAGGAAGATAGCCCTGAGCTAACTACTGCCAATCCTCCTCTTTTTGCTGAGGAAGACTGGCCCTGAGCTAACATCCATGCCCATTTTCCGCTACTTTATACATGGGACGCCTACCACCGCATGGCTTTTGCCAAGTGGTGCCATGTGTGCACCCGGGATCCGAACCAGCGAACCCCGGGCCGCTGAGAAGCGGAACCTGCGAACTTAACCGCTGCACTACCGGGCTGGCCCCTCTGTTTTTAAAACTTAATTCAAATGCACAATAATCACGACAGTGTGGTAGTAGCATAAGGACAGTATGGTATATAGATCAATGGAACAGAACTGTGAGTCCATAAATGGACCCATACATTTATGGCCAATTGATTTCTTTTTTTTTTTTTTTAAAGATTTTATTTTTCCTTTTTTTTCCCAAAGACCCAAGTACATAGTTGTGTATTTTTAGTTGTGGGTCCTTCTAGTGGTGGCATGTGGGATGCCGCCTCAGCATGGCTTGATGAGCAGTGCCATGTCCGTGCCCAGGATTGGAACTGGCAAAACCCTGAGCCACTGAAGTGGAGCACGCAAATTTAACCACTCGGCCATGGGGCTGGCCCCTGGACAAGTGATTTTTGACAGGAGTTCCAAGACAATTCAATAGGACAAGAATAGTCTTTTCAAAAAGTCGTGTTAGGACAACTGGATAGCCACATGTGTACGAATGAAGTTGGACCCCTACTTCACCAAAAAAAAAAATAATTAATTAAAAATGTATCAGAGACCTAAATGTAAGAGCTAAAAGCTACAAAAGTATTACAAGAAAACATACGAGTAAACCTTTGTCACCTTGGCTTAGGCAATGGTTTCTTAGTCATGACACCAAAACCATAAGCAACAAAAGAAAAAAATAGATAAACTGGACTTTACCAAAATTAAAAATGTTTGAGCTTCAGAGAACACCACGAAGAAAGTAAAAAGACAATCTAAAGAATGGGAGAAAATATTTGCAAACCATGTATCTATCTGATAAGGGTCTAGTATCCAGAATATATAAAGAAGTCTTGCAACTCCACGAAAAAAGACAAATAACCCAATTTAAAAAGGGGCAAAGGATCCAAACAGACATTTCTCCAAGGAAGATATACAAATGGCCAACAACCATATGAAAAGATGCTCAACATCATTAGTCATCAGGGAAATGCAAATCAAAACCACAATGAGATCCTACTTCATAACCGCTACAATGGCTATAAGCAAAGAGACAGATAATAAGGAGTGTTGACAAGGAGGTGAAGAGACTGGAACCCTCATTCACTGCTGGGGGGAATGTAAAATGGCACAGATGCTTTGGCAAACAGTCTGGCAGCTTTTCAAAAAGTTGAGCATAGTTACCATGTGACCCAACAATTCCACTCCTAGTTACATACCCAAGAGAAATGAGAACATAGGTACATAGAAAAACTCGTACACAAATGTTTATAGCAGCGTTATCCATAATAGCCAAAAAGTAGAAACAACTCAAATGTTTATCTATTGATGTATAAGTAAAATGTGATATGTCTATATAATAGAATATTACTCCACCATAAACAGGAATGAAGTACTAATACATACTACAAAAGGGATGAACCTTGAAGACGTTATGCTAAGTGAAAGAAGCCAGCCCCAAAAAGCTACATATTGCGTGATTCTATTTATATGAAATGTCCAGAACAGGCAAATCCATAGTAGATTAGTGATTGCCAGAGGAGGGGGATGGTGACGGACTGCTGATGGGGATGGGGTTTCTCTCTGGGGTGAGGAAAATGTTCTGGAATTAGTGGTGATCAACGCCCAACTTTTAATGTAGTATTAAAAACCACTGACTTATACATTTACATTTTAAAAGGGTGAACGTTATGGCATATGAATTACATCTCGATAAAGTGGTTATTAAAAAAAAGAAGTGTATACGTATGTTATTTTTCAAAAGGGACCAATATACATAAGGGGCTGTTGATACATGCAGGAAATACCTCTGGTAGAGTACAAAAGTAACCGATTAACAACGGTTATCTCTAAGGAGGGAAACTGAGTGGCGGGAAGTAGAGGAAGGAGTGTTCGCTGTATAACCTTTCTTGCCTTTTAAATTCTGAATCATGTGACTGGGTCACCTATTCAGTAAGTGGAACCTGGCCTTTATCTTGATTCCACCATGGCACCTAGTATAGTACCCAGCTCCGGGGGCTCAGTAAATGTTTGCCCAACTGAACTGAGCTGGCAGATAAAAGCCGCTGGCAGACGGCAGGTGCTGAAGAAACAGTGGCTGCTTTGATTTAGCAGGGTGGGCCCCTGCCACGCGGAAGTAAACCAGGGAGGACACGGCAACAGCACAGACTGAGACCGCCCCACCTGTCCTGCCCTGGAAACCTGTACTGGAGAGAAGAGACATGAGCTCAGAGATTAAAAACTAACCACTCAAGCGTCCTTTAAATTCCCCTCCTGCAAGTGCCACGTGCTAGGGAGAAAGCCGGCTGCATCTGGAGAAAGGCGGCAGGCTCTTACCTGGCTCTGGGGGCTCCTTGCTCACATGCTCAGCTTCCATGGACCCAATGCCCCCACTAAACATGATGGGCTTGATCCACTCACGCCGCTGGCCGTCTGGGAGCTGGAGGCCCAAGGAGCGGGCGAAGCCTGAAGCACAAATAGCACAAGGAGAGGGGATAGGGTCCAGTCACTCAGTGCCCGCAGCGCTCACTCGGTCACACACCCCACCCCACCTCAGGACTAGGTGTCCATTATCCCCTACTCCCCCCAGCCTCACCGGCCAGCACTGGTTCCCCAAACTTGTTGCCGTAGTCAGAAGCTCCATTACTGGCCTCAATGGCAACCTCCAGAGGCTGGGCAAAGTTCCCAGGATACTGGAAGCTCGGATCCTCCCAGGGCAGAGTGTAACCTGGGCAGGGAAGGAGAAAGTTGGATGCACTGTAAAGATGAAAGACAGAGGAGCCAGAGTCCTTCAGGAAGAGTCTAAGCACCAAGGACCACCTGTGTAGGTGGAATATTTCATTTTGGGAAGTTCTGTTTTAGGAAAGCATAAAGCCTGCAATAAAGTATTGGTCTTGCTCCCCAGCTCCCACACCAGCCTCCCCTCTGACACTTGGGATCACTTCTTAAGGTTTTCTAAGAAACTAGATTTTGGGGGCAGGTGATGGTCATAAGACTGACCCAATATCCTGTTTTCTTGCTGAGACGATGCTAGTTTATAAAGAAAATTGCGGTGTGCAAAGCCAGTGTGGTGACCTGGCTCTCCCCTGGCCTACAGTCCTCATGACCATGGTCAGTGAAAGGTCAGCTACTCTAGAGCCCTCCCTCTCAAGAAAAGGCAACCAGGATGGCCCTTTGACCTAAGAGATCAAAGTGTTCGGTGCGTGCCAAGACAAGGAATCTGGAAGGAGAGATGGTAGAGAAGAAAGAGATGGGACCTGGGATGTGCAGGTTTCCAAAGCAATAGCCAGCAGTGCCAGCTACCACGTGGGCCCCGCGGCCTGTGCACTGGACATCTCGGATACGGCCCCCTGTGCCTGTGGTTGCACCGCTGAAGGGGGCTACTCCTGTGAAGAAAGCGGGGAGAGATACAGGTATTCAAGAGACAAATCTCAGCTCTGACTAGCTCATTGAAAATAAGGCCAACTGGCCTACCTGATTGTTCTTCCCAGGCCCAACCCGGGGGCCTGGGACCTTCGCCCTACCCTACTCTGATCTCACCTATCCCTCCCGGGGACCCAGCTCACCTGTGGGGAAGTTGTGTGTCTCTGCTGTGAAGACCACGTGTCTCAGCCCCTGCTGTTGCTGGAAGCGGCTTGGCTGTGTGGGGTCCTCAGGCCGTAGGAATTGGACCTCCTCCCCCTGGATTGCACTGTAGACACATCCTTTCGGGACCTTGCTTCCTTTCTGGGATCTGTGCTTACCCCATCAGGGCCTCCGGCCTCCCCTCCCCTGAGCCTGAGGTGACCCCAGCCTACCTGCTATTGTCACAGAACTTGAGGATGTTGTTGGGGTTTGAAGAGGCCTGGGTGCTCATGATGGACTCAAACAGTGAGTGTGCCAGTTCCTGCCCATCCACGTGGAGTCGGCCCTTGAAGAACCAGTGTCGGCTATGCTCGCTGCAGGGGGTGACACGGGGAGGGGAAGGCAGGGCAGAAACATGGGGTCATTTCTCAGCCCTTGCCATGTCTTTTTTTTTTTTTTTTTTTTTTGGAGGAAGATTAGTCCTGAGCTAACATCTGCTGCCAATCCTCCTCTTTTTTGCTGAGGAAGACTGGCCCTAAGCTAACATCCATGCCCGTCTTCCTCTACTTTATATGTGGGATGCCTGCCACGGCATGGCTTGCCAAGCGGTGCCATGTCCGCACCCGGGATCCAAACTGGCAAACCCCGGGCTGCCGAAGCAGAACGTGCAAACTTAACCGCTGCACCACTGGGCCCAGTCCCAGCTCTTGCCATGTCTTACTAGCATTAACAGCAGAGTTACAGCCAACTCATATTTAGATAATATGTCCAGATATATTCCATAAAGTCATAATCTTCAAACACTGTGTCACTGTGAATGTCCAGATTCAAAGTAAAGATAAAACCAAGATTTGAATGTAGGCTACCAGCCATCTGGGGATCCCAGGCGCTCAACAGACTCAGGGAGGCTCTTAAGCCAAGAGAGAGCCATGAAGGCTAGTTCCTATGGCCTTCCCTTCCAACCTCCATGGGCTCAGACATCAGAACGTCTCCATCCCTCCCCACCTGTTGGACTGAGCCAAGTCGAAGGCCTCTACGATGCTGGGGTTCCGCTGTAGCTCCTGGAAGCGCTTGGTATAGAAATCTAGGTCCCAGGAGTCTAGAGCCAGACCTAGGAGACAAACCCAGAAAGAGCTGACAGTGGGACTCATGTCACCATATCCCAGGTCTCAGCACCCCTCCTAGCCTAGCCTGGGCCTTCCTCACAGGGAGCCCTGCTTACCTAGTTCCTGGTTGGCTTTCTCCAGGGCAGGCCGGCCCTCGGTCAGTATGTTGATAGGGCCGTTGAGTGGTACTGGGATGCTCCCAAGGGAGAAGCTCTGGATAGGATGGGGGAAGTGCTGCTCCATCATCCTGTCATGCAGGGTAGCCACAGCAATGGCCTCCATCTCAGCTGAAGGGGGGTGGGCAAACTAAGGGCAGAGACACAGAGGGCAAGGGATGGGGAGTTGAAGAACAGACAAAATGATGTACCCTCGGTCCTCCAACTCACGCGGCGCCAGCCCACTGCTAGCCTATATAGCACCTTTGTTTAGATTAAGAAAAGATGTCCCTTCCAGGTATGAGTCAATGTCACGATGCACAGATTAGTAATGGGAGAACAGGCTGGATTTCTGTCCCATTCACTCCTTGACCAGGTGGTCCCAGGAAGTGAACAACCTGCAAACAGCGCAGGCCTAAAGCCAGGAGCTCCTCCCCATTTCCCCCATTATTACCCTGTTTAGGACCTAATCTCTTATCTCTGGCCCACTTCCTCCTGATCCACCGCTGATTGCCCACCACCTCACCGAGAGCAGGTAGCGCCGGGTAGTCTCCACACGATCCACAGCCCCCAGCCCAGCGGCCCAGCACACTGACACGATGTTGGTAGACGTTGGGGTGGAGAAGTTCAGCCTGAGGAGTGGGCCACATGGTTAAGACCTGAGAGCCCCAGCTGAGAAGGTGGATCCTGCCCACGACTGTCCAGCCAACCTCTCACCTCTAGCCACCTCACCATTGGCCTCCAGCCTCAGATCTGGGCATGAAGAAACCTGCTTTCAAGGGTCGTTCAAATCAAATAATACCTGTCCTTCTAGCATCAAAATGCTTTGATTTCACCTTCTCAGAATACAATCTGTCTTACTTCCAGAACATACCTGGGAGCTAGTTCAGTCTTCAAAGACATCTTCCCAAATAGGGAAGGGGTGTACATAGCTTTCTAGGCAGGGAGTAGGATGAAGGAAAAGCAAATCCCCCAAGGATCACAAGAGGAGGAAGAAGAGGAATGAGAGTGGAGGGGGTGAGGGGTGTGTGTGGAAGGGATGATATGCCTCGGAACATGGAAAGAGTTGCGCCAGGCTGACACTTGCCTGGGCCCAACCTCCAGAAGCAGGTCACTGGAGCCAGGAAGGAGCCAGGACTCCTGAGCAACATCATCCAATAACAAGGGGCAGCCAAATAACCACATCAGCTTCTTCATCTCCTCAGCGCTTGGGAGGGACTCCGCTGCAGGGAGACAGGGTAAGGACACCTTGATCCACTGCCCCTGGCCCTGGGGTACCTCCCCCAAGAATCCAATACCTGGCCCAACCTGTCCAGTTCACGTTGTAGCACAGCTCAGTCGTGATGCTCTGCAGCTCTGGTAGTTTCCCCTGCAGCTTCCTTCGAGTGTGTCCAGAGGCTGCCCCCTCATGGCCAGAGGGACGGACATAGAAGTGAAGGACTGAGGACATCTCTGCAAGTGTCCCTTGCTGGAGAGATGAGCCGGGTTCCTAAAAAATTATATTAAGTATAGCCTATCTGTTGAACAGACTTCAAGTTTCAAGGACAGATGAGGCTTTGAAGGCATTAGGGATGGGGTGGGGCAAAGTCATAGGGGCGTTCAGAGAGACAAGGTAACCCGAAAAATGTAACCTTGGGGGGGTGGTGTTAACTAATCCTGTAAAATGTGGGATCGGGATGTACAGGTGCATCTTTGACATGTTTTCCTTGAGCGCCTGCACTTTGCTGGGCCCCAGATAAGGTCTTAGGAACACAGCTGTGAACAAGATAGAAAGCATTTCTGCCCTCAGAGAGCTTACATTTTATTGAGGGAGACAAGTAAGTACCCAGACATTTCCAGTCAAGTGTGGTTAAGGCCAAGGGACTGTGGGTATCAACCTAGCACTATAGGAGTCTGGAAAGACTTCGTGGGAGAACCGGCATCTAAGCATAAACCTGCGGCATGAGCTGGACAGGGCCTGGCTGGTAAAGTCAAATGAGAATACTCTCCTGATACTCCTCTATCTTCTGGTTGCTCCTTCTCAGTCACCTGTGCTGGTTCCTACTCTTCCGCTCTACCTCTAAATGTTGGGTGCCCAGGGCTCTGTCCTTTGTTCTCTTCTCTCTACATGCTCTTCCTAAGGGACTTCATTCAGACCTGTGGCTTTAAATACCATCCAATAGACTGAATCAACGAAGTTGACAGCATTCAACCATTTTGACCAAAAATGGTAATTTCATATTATTCGAGTTACTATCTGCCAGCAGACTCCATAACTTTATTCAATCCTGATTCTCCTTGAACCTTCAAACTAGTACATTCAAATGCTTACATAACATCTCCACATGGATGTCTCATAGACACAGATGATAGCCTGGTTTGGTCAAAACGAAAACTTTGATTTATCGTTTCTCCAGACCTGCTGTTCTCTCAGTCTTCCCCATCTCAGTAAATACCACCATCATCCAACCAGTTGCTCAAGCCAAAAACACAGGAGTCAACCTTAATTCTTTCCCTGAGCCTCTCTATACCCAATCTATCAGCAAATCTATTTCCAAACACATCCCAAGTCTGTCCACATTCTTTCACCTCTGCTACCATCACTCTAGTTCAAGTCACACCATCACTAGCTTGGACTAATGCATTGGCCTCCTGACTAAGTAGCCCTGATTCCACCTCTGCCCCAACCACAATCCACTTGTCACAGGCCAGCATAAATGAAATCATGGGTTCTCATCACACATGGTATAACCTTCCAACTCAGTACCCAGACTTACCTGGTCTGGCCACTGACTACCAGTCCAACTCTATCTCATGCCACTCCCCTCACCCACGATGTACCACCACAATGGCTTTTTTTAATTCCTCTGACTTGCCAAGCTCAATTCTGGAGGGCGCTTCTCTGACCCCGATATTTGCGTGGCTAGCTCTTTGTTGTTATTTACATTTTAGGTGAAACTCACCTTCTGGGAAAGGACTTCCTTGACCTATGGCTCTGAAGTAGCCCTATCACATGGCCCTATTTTAATTTTCTATAAGGTATAGTACTTATCACTATCTGAAATTTTATTTTTACCTCTACCTTCCCCACTAGAACAAAATTTCCACGTTGGCATGGACTATAGCTGTTTTATCTCCATTGGATTACCAAGGCTTAGAACAATAGCTGGGGCTTAAAAAGGAAAAAATCTAAAACTTGTTGACTGACTGAATAAACTCTTGACTCTATCACTCACCAGCCTCTGTCACCCTTTCAGGCCAGGCCTCATTTCCATAAATGCTGCTCCTGCCAGATCAGTCTTGATTCCTCCCTTTCTCAGCGCTTCCCACTCCGTGCTGATCACCCTTTCCAAAGTTAGACCCTCACAGGTGTCCTCCATACCATAATTCCTTCACAGGAATTATCACATTTGGTTTTCGTCTATCATTCCCAGTGAAACAGAAGCTCCAAGAGCGCGGGGACACGGTTGTCTACATCAGGACTGTATTGCCAATGACTAGCATGACATAAACTAGGAGATCGAGAGATTTTCTGGTTGGTTAAATGAATGAACTGGGAAAGAGGGGCTGAGTTTACGTGGGGTCACCCCGCCGGGCGTCTGTGGAACTCGCGCGAGATAGCACGAATGGACGCAGACACGAGGGCCCCAAGTGGTCGCAGTTCGGCCTGGTAAGGATACAAAAGCGGCCAGGATCAGGCTTGGGGTGGGTGGCGAAGGGGTGCGGCAAGCAGTAGGATCCCGGCGGCGCGGCAGCGATACGCACGTGGAATCGTTGTCCAGGCCTCTGAGGTCCTCGAATCGTGGCGCGCTGCTCACGTCACCCGCGTGCGCCGCGGGCAGAGGCGTAACCTGAGGCCGCCGCGCCCTCCCACTCCCGCTGGGGGCGGGGCCGCCCTGGCCGCCGCCCCGGCCGCCGCCCTAGACCTTGGAGACTTAGAGGTTTGTACCCCAGGTGGTTTAGTCTCACAAATATGTCTTGGGTTAACGTTTGTGAAAATACGGTCAGTTCCGTGTCCCCGCCTCTCGTATGCCGGCGCAAGCTGTGACGTAGACAGATACTTTGAATGCAGGAAACGGAATGAGAAGCATTTTCCATGTCCAGGACTCAGTTTCCCTAACCTTACTGCCTTGGCTTGCTTGCTTTCTCTTTTTCCTTTTCTGAATGAACCAATTTATTTAATTCTCAGCAGAGTGGGAGGGATATTTCTTTTTTTTTTTTAAGATTTTATTTTTCCTTTTTCTCCCCAAAGCCCCCTGGTACATAGTTGTATATTTTTAGTTGTGAGTCCTTCTAGTTGTGGCATGTGGGATGCCACCTCAGCCTGGCTCCACGAGCCGTGCCATGTCGTCGCCCAGGATTGGAACTGGTGAAACCCTGGGCCCCCCAAGCAGAGTTAGCGAACTTAACTGCTCCGCCTCGGGCTGGCCCCCATATTTCTTAATTTCCATATTCTTGCTAGTTACACTAACAATAATAATAGGAAATATTTATTGCGCACCTATTAAGGCATTTTACATAGTCTCGTTTGATCTTCGCAAGAAACGTGTTTTACAGATGCAGAAGCTGAGGATCATTACAATGACTTGTTCCTTTGTTTTGTAACTCAAACAGCCCTTTCTCCCTGTGTATGTATTTTTTGTACATTTTTTTAAACCTTCATAATACATTAATACATGATTGTCTTAATCAGGATCCTATCAGAAAAACAGATGGCACACCCAAAAAGGCTTAATCAGTAAGAATTTAATAGAGTGTATTTACAGAGATGTGGGCAGGATTAAGGGAACCAACAAAATACAGTGGGGCACCCAGAGCCCAGCAACAGCAGAAGGTGGTTACTGACTGTAGGCTTGAAGGGGCAAAAGAGAGGGAATGGTGTTATCAGCTGGCAGAGAGCTGGAGCCACAAAAGAAGGGCTTCCAACAGGACAAAGGAACCCACAAGTACAGTGTTGAGGGGGAAAGGGAATAAATACTGGGTTCTCTCTCCTCCTGTCCTTGTGTCACCGTGCAAACTGTCTCTGTCTCCCATTAGCCAAACCTAGCCTGAAGCCTGAGTGCAAGAAAGCCAGAGTGGCATGCCAGGGCAAACACAATACCAAGCCCAGTGGTCTTTGTAGTGAGTCAAGCAACACAGAAATGTTCAGAGGAAAAGGTGAAAGTCTTTATCCTCATTGCTTCTCCCATTCCATTCTCCTCCCCAGGGCCAAGACTAGGTTAAGGCAAGTGAGGCACCTGGGGGTGCCTCAAAATCTTAAATTTAAGCTTTTGCCCCTTGGATGCCTCACCCGAATTCCAGCCCTGCCCCAGACATAAGTTATTACCTGTTTGGTGTATAAGGTTCCAGGCTGTTGAAATAAATACTCTCTGACTCCCTTCTGACAGATGCCACATGTTGAAGCTTGACATCCAAGCAGTCCTTGGCTTCTTTCCCTCCAGGCACACCCTGGCTTCATCCAATACCTGCCTTCTAGCTCCTTCTGGGAAACTTAGTTTGCTCAGCTCTCTATCTATCTGGTCCTGTCTCCTTCTCATTTTAGCACTTCCAGTGTACCGTAAGGTTTTAGCTTTCACCTCCATATAGAGACTTCCAGATTCATCCCTTTAGTCCTGATCCCTCTCCTGACTTTGGTCCCATATCTCCAGCTGCCCCCAGGACAAAATCACCAGGTCTGAGACAGCTCCCAATCCTCCATACTTCCCTCCCTCTGTGACAGATCATACTGTTCTGCATGCGTCCCTAACATCTTCCTCCCACCACCACTTTCCTTTAAAACTCTTATTTAATCAAGACTGATCTACTTCAGAGGCCTCCAGTTCTCTTGTGCCCCTCTCATTTGTTCCTGTATGCTGCCGCCAGATTAAGCTCCTAACCTGACATTTAAATAACACCAAGGGTGGTGATGGTGATGGATCCAGAACAACTTTCTCTGATCACTGTAGCCTAAACTCAACACTTCCTCCTATGAACTATCAAAAGTAAATCCCAGGATATAGGGCACATCTTCATGGATTTGATAAATAGAGAGAGTCTTGCAGAGTTGAGAAAATACCAAGAGCAAAATGAATGATTAGGTTTGGGACTTTGAGTAGGCTTTGACAGGTATTCTAACAAAGGGGCCAGTGTGGCTGAAGTGGAGTGAGACAGAGGTTTCAGCTTCTTCTGGGAGATTCATTATTGTTGTTTTGCTAGAAAGGAAAGGAACACATCTCTGATGTAATAATGGGAAATAACTGCAAAGAAAGATTCACTTTATAAAGAACTTGGCACTGCAGTGCATAACTAGTTCATGCAATAAGGAATAGAGAACTTGTATAAACATAAAGGTGAATTAAAGGATACATAATTTGTAGAATTAAAGTCTTTATTTTCCTGTTAAATGATTAGAGCATTCTTATTGTCTACAATGTTTATACTTACTATATTATTGTCGACAAACATAATCCATAACCAATCTATAAATGAGAATTGGGGTGAGTTTACTATGAGCCAGATCTGAGGACTAGTTTATCCCGGGTCCTTCCTTCCCCGAGGAAGGAAGGGCACCAAAGAAGTGGGGGTGTACAGAGTGGTTCTATATCATCAAAGAGCATGTATCACATATGATTGAAATGCGCTTTTTAAAACAGTCACTAGATTGCTTTGTTAGCACAGTGATTGATGGACAGAGCAGGTAGTAGGTCTGCTGTCTCAGTGGACACAGCAGGTAGTCTGTCAGTTGTCTGGAGCTGGGTGGTCACGGGATGAGTGCAGCAATCAATTCCTAGCCTATGGAGGGATGATTATCCTTAAGGAAATGCCAAAGTGGGGGAAGTTGCATCTTTATCTTAAGGCCATTTGTTCTTGTCTTTGGGATATAGCAAATGCTTAAAGCAGATATACAATGCATGCTAAGTGGCCACGGCAGGCCCTTTTGGAAAAAAAAACTGATAGGCTGAATCAGTTTTACACCAAATGGCTTCCTCATATACTCCAATATCCTGTTGCTTGCCATGTGTTTGTCATTATAATCAATGTTTATTCTATCTTGCTTCAAAAACAATTTGAAGCTGCTATAAGTGTACAATGGCTTTAAATGCCCCTCTTTCACTTTACTTTTTTAATCTTTTCTCCTTCTCTCCAGCCTCACTGACTTCGTTGCATTTCTTTCCACCACAGGGCCTTTGTGCTTGTTGTTTCTCTACCCATTCTTTTTCTTTGATCTCCATCATTTGAGTCCTTCATCTCTTTCAATTTTTTACTATAAAGTCACCTTTTCAGTAAGGTCTTCTCTGTATAAAAGGGACACACTACCCTCTGCATTCCCTATTTCTCTTTCCATAGCACCTTTTCCTAACGTTCTACACATTTTACCTTTTTTTTTTTTTTTTTACTGTCAGTTTCCTCCTCCTAGAAGGTAAACTCTATGAGAGCAGGGATTTGTATCTGGTTTGTTTGCTGCCACATCCCCAGAGCCAGAACAGTGCATAGCCTGGCACATAGCTGCATGAACTCTGTTCTCTTCTCATCTTACTAAGCTGTGGAATGATTGGCTGGTTGACTGAATTAGGGAGAGCAGAGGCTTCACTAGTTGACCCACAAATATTTATCAAGTTCTTATTTAGAAAGAAGAACAGTTCTAGATACCGGAATGCAAAGATAAATAGAATAAAAATAGGGTATGGCTTCCGGGTACTCAGAGTCAAGTCGGGGAAACAGTTCAACAATTACAGCAATGAGTTAAGGCCATAACACAAGTATGAATGATGTACTCCGGGTGCACTAAGGAGGAAACACTACTCTCTGCTTAGCAAGATCAGAGAGATCGAAAGATGCTTAGGGAGTTAACAACCAGGCTGGCTGGGATGAACTCCTGAGCTCCCTCACTCTGTCGCACGCAAGTCAGACAGGATGTCACTGCGGAAGAGAGACAGCGGCTCCGGAAAGAGGGGCAGAGGCCGCAGTGGAGCACAGAGGTGCTAAGCATGCCGGGTGGGAGGAGCCGGAGACGCGCCCACCGATGACGTCAGCGAGCGTCCCTCCGGTGAGCCCTCCGTCGCGGTTCGCGCGGTTCCCGCGGCTCGCTGGAGCGGAACCTGGGGCGCACCATGGCGGCGAGTAGTGCGCAGGCTCCTAGCTGTGTGAGTGCTGTTCTCCCTCCCACGTCCGTTTTTTTCTTGTCTGTCGCGGATTTTTCTCTCTTCTCCTGTTGCCTGCACCTTGCCTCTTTGCCTCCCTGACTTCGCTGGCCGCGCCTGGGCGAGGGGGGTCTGTGAGGCTGTTCGTCCTACCGGTCTCACTGGTTCTGCGAATATATTTATTCCTTCATTTCTGCGGCGCCTGCTGTGAGCCGTAAACACGTCTCCGTCCCCTCTCTAGGCTTCAGGCCCAGCGGGAAGCCAGGAGCAGACTAATGGCGAACTGTAGGGCTGTGGGGTCCTGGGGGAGACCCCTGACGCAGCTATTGGGGAAAGGGGTAACTGATAATCGGGAACAGCTTCTGAGACCCGAAGTGCGTGTAGGAGTTAGCAAGGCAAAAAACGCGCTGAAAAAGGTTAAAGGCGTAGGCGAGAACATGTTCGAAGGCGAGATAGAGCAGGTGTCTTTGAAAAACTCCGTCAGTTCACTTGGGTGGGGGTGGAGGGGTCAGAGCTGACGGTCTTGTAAGTCTTAACTTAGCAGCGACTTTA